TTGATGGTGCAAGCTATGTGCTACAAGTTCCTAGGTCGAGAGTCAATCCGCCATGCACAATCATCATCATATACGTCAAAGGATTCTGGAATGGACAATATATAAATCTGGATAAAATTATCAACATTAGTCAAGAACTAACCTCCTTTTGGTGAACCTAGGATAGTAAAGAACAATATATAAATCTGGACAAAATTATCACCCTCTTGTCCACTTCCACTCATTTTAGCATCATTCTTGTTTAGTTTCACATGGCAACCACACTTAACATGATGCCCAACCTTTCTACATTTCTAAGAAACCAAACCTTTCGGTTTGTTTGGGTTTGTCATGGTCTTCCTGCTTACGTTTCTTGTCATTCCCCTTGTTGTTAGGGGTTAGATTTCTTATCCTCGACCAATTGAACATGGGGCTATCGAGATTCAACTTAACCTTTATTTTTGACATTCTCATGCACACAAAGTGACTCCTCAATGTTTAAGTGACTCCCAAATTGAACCAACAACATTTCCTCATTTTGATATTTAATAGTATGCTAAAATCCTTCCAAGAGGGTGGAAGTTATTCAATTATACTCAACACGAGATACGATTCATCAACACCTATCTTGTGGAGCGTAAATTGACCAAGAAGACGAATGAGTTAATCATTGTATTGTTCCATAACAGACCTGAGTTAATCATTTTGTAGTTATTGAAATCACTCACCAAGAACTTCTTGCCAGTAACATCTTTAGTACTCCCTCCGTCCCGCAATGAACTTCCCACTTTCCTTTTTTGGATGTCCCAAAAACAAGTTCTCATTTCCTTAAATGGCAAGTTAATCTACATCAAAACAATGTCAAACAGTGCAAAACAGTGTCAAACAGTGCCAAACAGTGTCGAAACAGTGTCAAAACAATAAAATTTACCCCATGGTAAGTTTATTTCCTTAATATGTGTGTAGGTCAAACTGTGAAGTTCATTATGGGACGGAGGGAGTAATATATTTTGACTCAAGAGAGCTTCACAAGTCTTTCGTGCTCTCCACATTTTGGTAAATATCAAATAAAGCATCGGAGATACCATTAACTCGTTAAGAATGTGTCCTCTACATATGTAGTCATCGTTCTTCCACTTTTTATGTTTCCTAGTTTGATCCAAGGTCTCATCTTCCATCACGTACTTTCGGCATCAGGGTGCTCTACACGTACACAACCTTCAAAGCCGTGAGAAGAAAGTGCATCTTCTTCTGCCGTCTACGGAAATCATTCCCTTGAAACTTCTCTAATTTGCTGAACTCAGATGTCATCTCTCACATGGTACTCATGATTAGGAATATCAATTCAATTGTAGGGGTTCGTAGGGGGTGATAATCGAGTACTTGGATTAGTTAACTATCGTGTAAGTTCACTTTTTGAGTTGAGATTTCTCCCATATGCCTGGATTACAAGATTTCTCCCCTATCCCAAATTTAGGATAATCCTTATAAAGGATACTCAAGAACTTAGGCACATGTTCAAGAGTACAAAGTAGTGAGTATATGAATTGTTTTCTTTGGATTTGAATGCCAAAATGATTACAATGTGTTCTATCATTCCCTCTGTCAGATACATGGAGATATAATTGTATGTAGTTAAAAAGTTGGAAAGAACTGCATATGACTGGCTCAACCTCTCTAGACCTAGGTCTAGAACTACAAAGCTGGCTGGTCCAGTGAGGGTTCTAGTTCAAGTTCTACTGGGAGTTCTATTGTCGTAAACACTTTGAGATAAAACTTGTTCTTGTATAGAAGTGTGCACTCCACATCTACTAGCTTGTATTGTATGATTAGATCATAATTCAAATCACCAATTATACAAAGTGACTAGGGGTGAGCACGGTTGGTTAACCGCATTTCGGTAAACCAATTTTTGGTTAACCGTGATTTCGGTTACTATATTTATAATAACATTAACCGTACCGTAGCATCGGTTAACCGGGTAACAGTTAACCGTAATATAGGTTAACCATAAACCGGTTAACCAAAAAATCATTTTAAACAAATTACCGCCTACCTCCCGAAACCTAAGCTAAGAATTTCTCGATCCAGGAAATGACTACAAAGGGAAGTATATATACTTCTAAAACTACACCGCCACATAGACCGCACTTATTTGTAACTATTATACATAAAATAAATAATGGACTGTTAAGCATATATATAAATTCTAATACTCCGTAGGTTATTTTAAAATTGTTGTATTATTCTATGTAGAATATACAGAGTATGTATTAATTTGTCAGAGTATGTATCCATCGATTTATTTTTTCATTTGAGCTTCTTTTCTTCACAACCAAAAATGTGTTAGTTAGTTTGATACAATATGTATCTATAGATTCTTTTACATTCCTGTTTCATTCTTTTCACAACCAAGAATTATTAACTTTCAAATTAATATCTTAAATTTGGTTTATCGGTTAACCGGCGTAGTTTTATTGCAAAATCATAACCGTACCGTGTACCGTTATTTCTTTCGGTTGGTTAACCGTACCGCGAGTTTTTAAAAACACGGTATGGTTAACCAAAAAAACACCGGTTTTTCGGGTTTTTGATACGGTTAATCGGTAACGGTTTTTTTGTGCCCACCCCTAAAAGTGACCGGTGACACTAAAATCACCAACAAGAAATAGAGCGATGAGATTAGGAAGGCCATTTCAATGTACAAAATGAATTAACTTTCATCTCAAAGCCAAAAGTACACACCAATATCAATGCAATGGTATCCTATACCTAAAAGCACTACACTGGAGAGAGAAAATTCTCCCGCCTAAGCATTCTCCGTCTAAAATCCTAAAATGTAATTACACTCTCCACAAAAAAAAACATCATCCTATAATCCTAAAATCCTAAAATGTAATCTCATTATATACCTTAAAGCACTACAATGGAGAAAGAAGAGTTTTCCGCCTAAGCATTCTCCGCCTAAAATCCTAAAATATAATTTCACTTTCCACAAAAAAAAACATTCTATACCTAAAATTTAATTTCACTGGAGAGAGCAAATTATCACGCCTAAGCATTCTCTGACTAAAATCCTGAAATGTAATTTCACTTTCCACAAAAAAATATCATCATCCTATACCTAAAAGCACTACACTGGAGAGAGAAAATTCTCCCGCCTAAGCATTCTCCGCCTAAAATCCTAAAATTTAATTTCACTTTCCGCAAAACAAAAAAAATCATCATCCTATACCTAAAAGCACTACACTGGAGAGAGAAAATTCTCCCGCCTAAGCATTCTCCGCCTAAAATCCTAAAATTTAATTTCACTTTCCGCAAAAAAAAAATCATCATATACCTAAAAGCACTACATTGGAGAGAGAAAAATCTCCCGCCTAAGCATTCTCCGTCTAAAATCCTAAAATGTAATTTAACTTCCCCTCCCCCCCCAAAAAAAGCATCCTATACCTAAAAGCACTACACTGAAGATAGAAAATTCTCCCGCCTAAGCATTCTCTGCCTAAAATCCTGAAATGTAATTTCACTTTCCATAAAAAATATCAGCATCATCATCATCATTATCATCATCATCATATACCTAAAAGCACTACAATGTGGAGAGAAAATTTTCCCGCCTAAGCATTTTCCGCCTAAGATCCTAAAATGTAATTTCACTTTCCGCAAAAAACAATCATCATATACCTAAAAGCGTCAATTTATACCGTGGGATCAACCCACCATGAGCATGGTGTGCCGATTCCAAAACAACGCCGTTTCATTAATAAAAAAAGAGCATATCGTGAGAGAGCGAATAGCTACCGCGGAAGAAGAAGAGTGACTACGGCCGAGAAAGAAGAAGAACCGTGACTGCGTGAGCTCTGGCCTGGCTCCTCATCATTCACCGATTAGAATGCTACTGCTGAGAAACTATGCTCTCCCATCCCTTCTGACTTTAGGTTTAGCAGCAGCTTCTCCTATGCTCCACTATTGGAGAATTGATGATTGGTTGATTGTTTAATTTTTTTGAAAAATTTGTTTGATGATTGTTCCGGATGATTGTTTGATGATTGTTTATTTATCTTGAAAAAAATATTAAACAATATTAGACAATTTATATTTTGATTTGACTCAAATTACATTTGAAAATACATACGATTACATAAAAATTTGTCTAAAGTTACATATTTTGTATCGCGAGTTACATGTCAACTTTTCTTAACAAGTTACATCATGTTTACACTTGATTTATATTTTCCAAAATGGGTGTTACATTACAAAATAATGCGAGTTACACAACCCAATAAACCCCTGCTATTCAAATGAGTATTATTTTTATAAAATATATATTTTTATAGCCCTGATATTAAAAACAAAACATATACACTATTTATGTAAAATATTTGGGCCATTAGACTCTTTTTTTCCATTGAAATCAATATTTTATTTTCTATATTATGTCTTAGACAAATCACATTTCGAATAGACTTGAGTTACATTCATCAATAATGTGAGTTACATTTCTTTACACGTCAGTTACATCATTATGCTATTGGAAGTCTGGAATAAGGGGAAAAAGTACTGTTCACACGTTTACTGTTCACGCGATTTTTTTTAAAATTGATTAAAACTACATCGTTTTGGACTAGGAGCACGGTGCTCACCGTGAGATGATCCCACGGTATACGAACTGCCTAAAAGCACTACACTAGAGAGAGAAAATTATCCCGCCTAAGTATTCTCCGCCAAAAATCCTAAAATTGTATTTCACTTTCCGCAAAAAAAATCATCATCCTATACCTAAAAGCACTACACTGGAGAGAGAAAATTCTCCCGCCTAAGCATTCCTAAAATCCTAAAATTTAATTTCACTTTTCCCAAAAAAAAAATCATCATCCTCCTCTTACCATTTATTCAGAATTTATATAATGTTTTCAAATAATTTTAACACAATCATATTTTTTAAATATTTTTAAATATATAACTATATCTATATTATTATGTGGGTGTCTCACTCCCGTGCAGCGCACGGGTGGAGTAACTAGTAATAAATAACATCTTGCATTATTATAACATGATTTATATAACATCTTAAATTACACTAATAAAATAGTTCTAAATGATGCATACTCCGTATTACACATACCAACAGAATTATATATACGTCTGCTAAGGTGAAATTAATTATAGTTGATTAAATATTAAGCAACAGACTTTGATGATGATTCTTGTAGTTGTGATTTGCCTTTGAGACCCTTGGACCTCATGTAAAGTCGGTATTCAGCGTAGGTCATCGGCGGATACAATGCTGGATTTTCGGGTGTCACTATTTCCTCCACCGGTTTTATCACCAAATCGCTTTTGGGATTGTAAAAATAGGCCAAAGATACACGTTCTTCCTCAGAATTCACAATCACTCTATGCTCAACACTTTTATAAATAGCATTGCTCAAAACCTGCGTTCACCGAAAATAAAAACATTGTTTTTGTGTTACAGAAAGAATGAAAAGTAGTTTACAATATTCATGATTCCAGTTTCTTGCTTTTAAATACGGAGTACTTAATTTAAGTAAAAATATGTCATTCAAAAGCACCCATTTCAACATTTTTAAACCAAAAATAAAAAGCATCTTTTTAAGTTTTTGCAAATATGGAATAAAATTATGAAGAAACTAACGCACGTTTAGAGTCTTAAAATTATGAAGTACAAGTATAACAAGAGTCGGTGGTTTCAGGGTTTTCAAACATTATACGGCCCTCGCCCCCTCCCACCATGTGCGCATATGTTTAAGAAATATCTCCTCTCACCGTTCCCATAAAATACTTCTCTCATTGACTTAGATCAGAAGTTAAGAAAGTGAGAAAAAAGTGAAAATGTATGATTGTGAGAAAAAGTAAATCAATACAAACCACACAGAAAATTTTCAAATAAGAAAATGAGAACTATTTTTTGGGACGGTTCAAAAAGGAAACCGAGAACTATTTTGAATAACACACAAACACTTCGATCCCACCAAAGATATGTTTAAGATATTATAAACTAACACTTTGATCCCACTCTAGACTTTAGGGTTGTTATATTACTCACATTTAAAGAACCAGCGCCAACTGCCCAACTATCAAACAAATACTTCCTTCATCCCCGATTAAGTTCTCACATTCCTTTTTCAGCAATCCCACAATTAAATTCACTTCTCTACTTTTCTTATTTGGCAAATTATATACATCAATATAGTGTAAAACAATGTCCAAACAGTGTCAAACAGTGTTCACACAGTATCCAAATAGTAAAATTTACCCCTGATAAATTTATTTTCTTAATATTTGTGAAATTCATCCCGTAACTTAATTGCGGGACAGAGGGAGTAAGAAGATGGCAAAATATAATACAATAAATGATGCTATGTTTCCTATTAACTACTCCTTAATTATAGCACACGATGTAATACCGACATACAAGAACAGCACATGACAAAATTTTGGTGCTAATCGGGCAAGTCGAGTTCGAGTTAGGCTCAAATCAAGTTGTGCTTGTAATACCGACATACAAGAACAATCGAGTTTGATTTCGAGTCCAGTTCAAATAGTAGTCGAGTAGGGTCCTACCGTCCTACTGGTCAAGTCAGACAAAGGAGTTACTACATGTGATGCGTGTAATAAAGATAGTACACAAAGGAGTTAGTACATATGACAAAATTTTGGTGCTAACCATGTTTCATGTACACACCCTTGTACACATCATGTTTGTGAAACTTTTTTTTGTCTGTGAATCTGGTTCACAGATAATATTTTGTTTGTGCAAAACATTGTCTATGAGTCGATGTTCACAAACAAAAAAAAGCTTTCACATACATAGATGTGTACAAAAGTGTGTATAAGAGTGTGTACAAACATCATTTTTGTAAAGATTATGATGAGCTTGGTTTTTAAGAACACCGTTATAAAAGGAGCAATTCCAGATCATCTTTTTGTACGCTTTTCATACGCCTTACGTGTACAAAATAACTTCCAAAAAATTACTCCCTCCGTCCCAGAAAATTCTTCCCACTTTGAATTGGTACTAAAATTAAGAAAGTGAAATAAAGTGAAAAATGTGTGGTTGTAGTTGTGTAAGAAAAATGTGAAATGAATGTGAACCACACAAATTATTCAAAAATGGTAAGTGGGGAGAATTTTTTGGGACAACCCAAAAATGAAAGTGAGAAGAAATTTTATGGGACGGAGGGAGTACATTTTTAGACGAATCGTCAGTATACAAGTAAAACGAAGAAATCCAATTTTCCTTGTACAAAGTTATCTCCATCACCTCATGAATTCCAATATAGTTCAGTAAAAAAATCTGATTTATAGAGAATGAAGTTTTTCTTGGTCGATGACAATCAACTTTTTCTATTTAAATTATATACAAATATAACAATTAAAAACATAGTCCAAAGTTTTTCATCATTGACCAAAAAAGTCAATACGATGAACTTTTCGGGACGAAGGTCGTACTATTTGATGACTCAGACTTGGGATTGCAATTAAGTCATTAGTAAAGATTGTGGTAGAGCCTCATACCTGACATTTAAAGAAAAGAAACAGCAAGTTTATACTCCCTGTGATTTTTGGTCGAACTAGTTAATTAATTAGATTCAATTATTCTTTAGTATTATTTGATTCAATTTGTTTTTTTATTTGGAATGGATCGTCGAACACCCATTTAATTGTCTACCCTTATTTCTAGGGGGAACTAGCTAGCTCCCCACATGCACGTGCATGATGTTTCTAATTCGGTTGCTTTACAAAACCTATTTCTGTTGCCGTGACCTTCTCCCATGATCCCAAATAACAAATGCATTGTATTCCGTTCCAAATCTCTTGTACATACTATATGTATTACGTCCTCCATCCCACTAATATCGTCTCATTTTACCTTTTCATGAAATCACACTAAGATTGTCTCATACCATATTTGGTAAAGTTTGTATGACTCTTAATCATTTTTACTTTATCAATTCAATATCAACCACATAAACTTAATTTTAATAATAACTGTGCTACCTTCTTCCATCCCAATGTTAGTGGGACGGAGGTAGTATTATTTTTTATCCTTTTTTTTATTACCAACCGATTTTGCCAGAGTAATCTGAACTCAAGTAAGCGGTGTTTGGATCTGATTATTAAAACTGCTTATATTCCTTCAAGGAGCAGAAGTTGATGTGTTTGGGTGAAAGTGCAGAAGTACTTCTGGTGTTCTAATTTACTCCTAGAAGCAGTTATTTTAGCTTCTGGAAAACTGGTTCTGATTCTGCTTCTACTTTATAAAAGAAGCAGAAGCACAATCAGTTCCAAACACCCCCTAAATATAATGCATCACAAACTTTTGAGATAATAAGTAAATTCAAGTTGTTTGAATAATCCCTTAGGTTTTCACCATTATCTATATGCACCATCGCGTACAAGAAATGATTTTAACTGATTAATGACACGTGTCCTCCCGTTTCTAGCACCGCTCCCGAAGTCTCGGGAAAATCGATTGATCAAACACCACAGCTTTCCGGTAAAAGCTAAGTAACTCCAAGTTTGCCGCATGAGGCGGCACAGAGTAAAGATTGTGCGACCACTCGAGCAAGTCCGGATTAGAGGATCATGACAAAACTCAGAAAAACTTGTGAAACAAACTCATTCATGACTTGAATTCAAAACTTCTTGCAATGGGATCATCTTAAGTGTGAGAGGTGATGTGGATTACTCTCACATGTACATATTATTTTCTAATTGTCTATTCAATTTTAACGGCGTGACCCTCTTATAATTACAAAATTCAAACACATGAACCAATTTGATAAAAAATCAAACACATGACCCTATCTGAACACGGGTCCTAGGTATATTTTCCGTACTTTTCCTATATTATTAAGAAATAATCTAAATCTAAACTACCCAATTTCGTTAAGCATACAAATTCAACGTACCTGAATTTGGTCACCAATGTTGACGATGAAAGCGTGCCTAGCTGGTTTGACGGTGATCCATTCACTCTTTTGTCGGACTTGAAGGCCGGAGACTTGCTGGTCCGGCAAGAGAATAGTCAGCCCACCCGGATCCGAATGAGACGAGAGTCCAAGGGTTAGGCCAGGTGAGGGGCATTTTGGGTAAAAGTTGGCTCTTAGACAAGTTCCAATATTTTCACCCCCAAAGGCATCTTGTAAAACTTCTTCCTTTACTCCTAGATTTCTCGATAGTATTTTCATCAACTGCCCACACAATTTCACCATTTGTTCTGAGTATTCTTCGATTACTTCCCTATAAGATTTCAGAAATAAATTAAAATCCTTAATTAATGATGAGTATAATACTTAACAAAATGTTTGCCGAAAAGTGACATACCACAAAAAAAATTAACACGATTGACACGGATCTTAGCGGGGATTCGTCAAAATACATAGGAAATTTGGCACAAATACGCCAAATCCATGTCATCGCCATTTTGTCATGACCGAGCTATTTGACACAGAGTCATCATAAATCCATGCTAAAAATTACTACGTAAAAGATACTAAAAAACTCACAAAAGTATCTCTTCAATCACCTAATTGTGCCAAAATACCGTTAGTATATATGTGGTGTGGCAAGTTAAATTGAATTGCCCAATATTTATTTTTCGAAACATTTTTTCAAGTGTTGCCATTAAGATCCGGGTTAGATCATGTACCTATTAATATTTCATATCTAATTATTGTTACATTTTTATCCGTATTTGCATTTGGTGGTTTGTCCGATTATTTGTGAATAAACTCAGGATTTTATCTGACTAAACTCGCCAATTTAAATATCATTTTTCTAACAACACATACACACACATATATCAAATATATCTTTTGAATTGAAATCATTTTAAGGAAACTGAAAATTGACCGCAATACCAAACAGGCCATTAAAGATCCGGGTTAGATATGGGTGGTGTAATTCCACACATTTCAATCTCGTGGGTGGGCCAAACTTCGGGGTATCATTTTCCTCACGTTGCAAGAAAAAGTCTTAATTAAGAAACATGTTTAATTTAGAATAACTAACCCAAGGGGAGCCCGTTCACTCAGGATTAAACTTGGAAGAAAAAAATTCCTAAATAAAAATAAAACCCAACACATTTCATTTAAAAAGAGGTGTCATTGTTTGATAAAAGTAGCACGTACATTTCCTATTTATAATGGTTTTCATCTAATAATGATACTCATTCACACCTATTATGGTAACTTTTGTATTCTTTTGATAAGACCAAACAAGGCTTATTATTATCAAACAAAAATATAATTTGTTCAAAATAAGATTAAAACATACACAACGTTCTAAAATATGACACATATCTTCCTAAAATAAGAGTTACTTAGTCTGTACATGCATGAGTTTTTTGAGAAAAGGACTATAACTACTACTTGAGAAAATTTGCAATGTTTTACTCATTCAAGTAATTCTCTATACTTAATCCTACATAATTGTGAGGTCATAGCAACTTTTTGAAAAGTTTTACTTCATTATATTTAGAAACAATTGTGAGACTAAAACCTAACAAATTAAAGTTATTTGCATATCATTGTTTTATTTTCAAGAAAAGAACTTACTTCTAAAAATGAAAGTTTAATCTTTTATTAAGACTACACAAGTCTTTTATTTTGGAATGAAATACTCTCTCTTATCACAATAAGTGACTCAATAGGCTTTCCACGTAATTTAAGATAATTTATAGGTTTATTGTACACTTTTTGAAAAAGTAGTAGATATTTGGTACGATAGCAGTATTGTTTACTTTATTAAAGTGTATTGCAGCTGTTTTTAGAGTGAATTTATTTCTTAAAATGGAAGTGAAACACTTATGGTGTTAGAGAGGAAGTATTATTGATCATGAAGTTTGTCTATGTTTTCTCTTAGTCTTATTCAGATCATTATATTCTTTTTTATACCAGTATAAATGTACCTTATAGAAGAAGGGAGGGACGGCCATTTGGTATGGTCCTTCAAGGAATAAGGAAGGCATTGAAGGAAAAAATAATCGCTCCAATCAAGAAGCGCCCCTTTCTCCACCCCGATGCGGCTACCGTACCCCTCGTACGTCGCCGGCGAGTTGGCGTACGGCTGCTTTACTTCCATAGGCAGGTGGAAGAACTCCCGCCACACTTCCCTCGCCCGGTCCATCAGCTCCGGCCTCACCCCGTGGTTCACCACCTGAAAAAAACCCCAGCTCCGGCAGGCGGCCGATACCTGTGCATGCACTTCCGCTGTATCCGCCGCCGTGCAGCCGCCGCCGTCAACGTGTGATGATGAAAGTAACAATGGTTCCAAGTCTATTATAGGGATGTTGGTGACGTCGCCGCCGGTAGTGTGGCCGGCGGCAGTTAACGACGGTCGATCGGCGGAGGCCTTAATGTATCTGGTGGGGATGGAGGAGAACCCCATTTCCGACAAAGATTGGACACGGACAATTGGTTCGGGCCAATCCATTGCCATGGGACAACTCATGGTTTGGGGCTGATTGTTGGATAGGATACAAGAGACCATGCCCATCACACACTACTATTTATATACTTCAATTTAATTAAGTAAAAATAGTGTGATTTTCAAAACATATTACTACCATTTTTAATTAATTATTGCCATCTTGAAATAATATTCCGTACTATGGAAAATTTTATAAATTTGAGTAAAAATGTTTTGAAATTCTAAAATAGGACTCTCATGTTTATATTCTATAAATAAGAGTAATTTCTGTCAAATATGACATTATCACGCTTTAAATATGACAATTTTTGCCAAGTTTGTTTCCAAACTTGGCCGAAATTACTTTTATTTAGGAAATAAAACATGAAAGTCCTATTTTGGATTTGTAAAACATTTTATTCCCATTTAGGACAATTTCTAATAATACTATGTGATGGAGTATATGGCCCAGGGACCCCTGGCCCATAGACTCATAATATCCTAATAAAAGCCCAAGAGGCCCAGGAAGCACAGTAGGCCCAAATCGCAGCGCCCCGGGTACCAAGCAACCCATGGAACACACAGGGGTGCCTTCGGCCCCCTCGCCGAAGGCTCCAAATTCTCACAGAAAGGCTATTTTTAGCATACAAAGCTACTGGGAGAAAACGCCGAAAATCAGTAGCCCTCGGCACCTGGAGCCCTCTGCCTTAAGAGGCCTTCGACAAGAAGAGCCCTCAGCTAATCATCTACAGTCGAGGGTACCAAGTACAACGTCACATCCAATCACCGCATTAAATGCGGCCACATGCGAATGCCAGTGACACCCGGTTGATGTGACCTCTCGACCGTTGGATGCTTGACACGTGTCCCCGTCTCGCATTTATTGTTACTATAAATAGCGCCCCATTTCCCCTTTGTAAACTATATTCTGAATGCGCTAAATTCACACTGAATACATATTCTCTCTTACTTGTTTGCTCTGACTTCTCTCTAGTTACTCCCCGCAGTAACCCCTCGGATATATACCCCCGGGTACACTTATCCATCATTTGGTGCTCTCGTCGAGAGGTCGAACAATCAAGTAAGAAAACCTCCCCTTCATCTAAAAACATCTATTAAAATGGGAAGAACCACCCGTGCTCAGTCCAAGAACCTCGAGGACAACAACCTGGCCCTCCCTGAAGTCAACGCCCCCGGAGCCTCTAACAAGGCTCCCGAGGGCGGGGTCATCACTGAGTTGGAATAGGCTGCTGTTGACTTGCGCCTTCAGCTCCAACAAAAATGCTCCTGATGCCCGCCTCGGCATCGAAACCCGAAGGAGGGACCGGAGCGAAAATCAAGTGAGCCCTCTGGTTCTCACTATCGACATACAATCGGCATTCTCTGCCTTCATCCAGACACTCACTCAAAACCCGGGTGCCTTCGACACTCTGGTACCCCTTCAACCGCAAGTCGGGGAGAACGTTGTTCTTCTCTCACGACCACCCCCCTTCGTGAACCCTACCCCCCCGGGTGGGGAACGACGAAGGGGTCGTGGCTCAAGACACCGTCTCCCAGGAGGTTCAAATCCCGGGACCAGCGTGGTAAAGAAGGGCCCCGGACCTCCGCCCTCGAGAGGCTCGGAGGGGCGCAAGACCGCCGAGGGGCCAAGACCGCCTCGAGGGGAAGGCGTTCCAAAGACCTCAGGAAAGTGGCGGATCCGTCTCCAGGGCAAATGAAAGGCGTCCTCCTCAGGACAAAGGCAAGGCACCACTTCATGCCGATGATGCCAGGCACCAAATCAATCAGGCCCACTCGGCCCGTGTTCGTTCGCAGGGGGCGGAGGCCCTCCCGAAGGATCCCAAGGACGAAGTCATTGCGGACCTCCAGCGCCGGCTAGATGAGATGGAGGCCCATCGGGTACATACCCCCACCACCACCCCCAGGCGGATCCCAAATATGAGGCCATGTTGGCCAAAATGGAGGAAATGCAGAAGAAAATAGCTGAAGGCTCCGGGGAACCCGTCATCCAACTCCGGACTAGGACGCCATTTACCCCAAGGGTATTGGCGGCCTGAATTCCGGAAAAATACCGGGGGCAACCCATCAGGCCCTATGAAGGAAAGACGGACCCTCAAGAACACTACAGCCGCAACCAAAACAACATGATGATGGTGGGGGCATCAGATGAATATTTGTGCCGTTGGTTCCTCTCCACCTTGGAGGGGCCGGCATACGAATGGTTCAACCGAATGCCCGAAGGCTGCATCGATTCATGGCAAGAACTCGCCCAACGCTTCTTGACGCAATTTGCGGGAAGGCGCCGTTCAAGAAAACATTTCTCCCACTTGCTGACAGTAAGACAAAGGAATGAGGAGACCCTTCGGGACTTCTTGGAACGTTGGAGGACGGAGGCTGATAAAGTTGATGGCGCTGACAATGGGACCCTCCTGGCCCTCCTTCAAACAGTCCTTCGCCCCGGGAACTTTTCAAGGAGCATCATCATCAAACCTCCCTGCGATTACGTAAGGGCCCTGTAGCGGGGGGACCGGTACGCCGAGGCCGAGGAGGTGGAAAAGTGTCATCACAACCCCGATCAGCAACGCCCTCGAACAGATGACAAGGGTAATCGAGGGCCGGGGGCTCCCCATAATCAATCCAACGTCTCCGCACCCACCAGTGATCGCCCCCGGCATAGCCAAGCCAAGCCAAGCCCAGGGGAGGTTACAAGGGAAACCCGAAGGCTTGGGCCCAACCCATTCTTTTGGAGAACCCTCGGACTCCCTTGACGCACCCCGTCAGTGTCATCCTAGATTTCGCCGAGGAGGGGGCCTTGTGGAGCGCGACTCTCGCACACCCCTGGAGGCATACGCCATCAACCCCAATTATCCTTACTGTCGATTCCACCGCAATCAAGGGCACTACACCGACGACTGCCATCAGCTGAATACGGCCATTGAAAGATTGATACAAGCAGGCCACCTGTCCCAATTCATCAGAGGCCATCCGCCTCAGGGGACCCCTCACTACCAGGGACCCCCTAAGAAAGCAAACGTGTGGGTCAACCCAAACACCATCCCCCTCGGCGACCCGAAGGGTAAGAAAAGGGAGATTGGAAACCTCGATGAGGAGGAGGGGCACGGCCAATACCAGGAGAAAAAGTGCCACATCCATGTGATCACTGGAGGCAACACAGAAGGGGACTCCACCATCCAGCGGAAGAAGTGGGCTCAATCGCTATACGTGGGGGAAGTCACTCATATGCCCCCGGTAAAGCGGCTGAGGGAAGAACCCATCACCTTCACCAATGCCGATCTCCCCCCGGCTTCCTCTCCGCACAGGGATGCCCTCGTCATCCGTATGGAGATTGATGACACCATCATCCACCGAACTTACATTGACACGGGCAGCTCCGTCAATGTAATGTACCTCAGCACATTCAGAGAGCTGCATCTGGAGAGGGGGTCCCTTCGGCCCATCAAGACCCCTCTCGCCGGCTTCACCGGAGACACCATTGATTCCGAGGGGGTCATTACCCTCCCGGTACTATTCGGCGACGGGCTCCATAGAGCCAAGTTCGAAATGGAGTTCGTCGTCGTCAACATAGACTGCACCCACAACATCATCCTCGGCAGACCAGCCCTCGAGGACCTCGAAGCCATCATCTCCATGAGACATTTGTGCCTCAAGTTCCATGCCGAAGGAGGCATCGGGTACTCCAGGGGGAATCAAAAACTTGCCCGCGCTTGCTACCTTCAAGTGACAAAGATGGTTAGTAAGACCGAGTTCCGCGTTGACACCATCACCGGAACCATGGAGGAAGAAGAGAAAAGGGCGGGGACTGAGCCCGCCGAGGAAGTAGAAGACTTCGCACTCGGTCCGGCCAAGCCGGAGAGGGTTGTGAAGATTGGAGCCAAGCTCCCCGAAGACCTGAAGACCGGCATACCTGAAGCCATCCGCGCCTACTCCATTATTTTTGCATGGGGGCCAGAGGATATGCCCAGAATCAGCCGAAGGGTCATCACCCACCGCCTCTCGGTGGACCCTTCGGTCAAACCTGTACAACAGCGAAGAAGACCCCTCTCGGCCGAGAGGAGAGATTTTATGAAAAAGGAGATCGCCATGCTCCTCTCCATCAAGCACATCAAGGAGGTAAAATACACCTCATGGCTGGCTAACGTAGTCCTCACACAAAAGCCACCCACCTTCCGCATGTGCGTAAACTACACTGATTTAAACAGGGCGTGCCCCATGGACCCCTTCCCCCTGCCTAATATTGATCAACTGGTGGATGAGACCGCGGGGTGCGAGATCATGTCCTTCCTCGATGCCTTCCGAGGGTACCACCAAATTTTCATGCACGAGGAAGATGCCGAAAAAACAGCCTTCATGACTACCGATGGCATATTCTGCTACCTTGTGATGGCCTTCGACCTAAAGAACTCAGGCGCCATTTACACCCGGATGGTGGCCAGAGTCTTTCAGGCCGTCCTAGGGTGCACCATGGAGGCCTACGTTGATGACATGATTGTCAAAAGCAAATGGTCAACAAGCCATGCTGACGACCTCCGGGAGATCTTCGCCATCATGCAAAAGTTCAACCTTCGGCTAAACCCGAAGAAATGCACCTTCGGCGTACAAGGAGGCAAATTCTTAGGCTACATGGTGAGCCGAAGGGGTATCGAGGCCAACCCCTAGAAAATCCAGGCCATCATCAACATGGAGCCCCCACGCAACGTGAAGGAGGTCCAACGGTTGACAGGCCGCCTGGCAGCCCTCAACCGCTTCCTGTCCAAATCGGCGGAGAAGACCTTACCCTTCTTTCAGATCATGAGGAAGACCGCCGGCTTCCTATGGACTTCAGAATGCCATGAGGCCTTCAACGAACTAAAACAGTATTTATCTTCACCCCCTGTGCTGTCCAATCCCAAGGTAGGGGAAACCCTGTACCTTTACCTTGGTGTTAGCCCGGCAGCCATCCGCTCAGTACTCATCCGGGAAGAAGATAGCGTCCAACATGCCATCTTCTATGCTAGCAAGACCCTCAGGGAAGCGGAACTCCGATATTCCCCTGTGGAGAAAACAGTGTTGGCTA